GAACTGAAAGCAGAACTATCAGCAATCTCACTGCTGGGTATCTACCCAAAGGAAAAGAAGTTATTTTACGAAAAAGATACTTGCATGTGCATGTTTATAGCAGCACAATTCTCAATTGCAAAAATATGGAACCAGCCCAAATGTCGATCAATCAAGTGGACAAATAAACCGTGGGGTGTGTGTGTGTGTGTGTGTGTGTGTGTGTGTGTGTGTGTGTGTGTGTGTGTATGTAGTATGATACATATACAATATATGTGTGTGTGTGTTTATACCATGGAACACTATTCAGCTATAAAAAGGAATGGAATAATGGCATTCACAGCAACCTGGATGGAATTCGAAACCATATTCTAAGTGAAGTAACTTAGAAATAAAAAACTAAATATCGTATGTTCTCACTCATAAGTGAGAGCTAAGCTATGAGGATGCAAAGGCATAAGAATGATGCAATGGATTTTGGGGACTTGGGGGAAAATGTGGGAGGCAGATAAGGGATAAAAGATTACACATTGGGTACAGCATACACTGCTCAGGTGATGGGTACACCAAAATCTCAGAAATCACCATGAAAGAACTAATTCATGTACAAAAATAATAATTTTTTTAAAATGGCAGCTGGGATTTTGATAGGGATTGTGCTGAATCTATAGTTCAATATGGAAATTCTTGGCATCTTGATGCTATTACGTCTTCCAGTCCATGAACATGAGATGTCTTTCCATTTATTTAAATCTTTACTTTCTTTCAGTGATGTTTTGTAGTTTTCAGTGTACAAGTCTTGCATTTTCTTTGTTAAGTTAACTCCAAAATTGTATTCTTTGATGAAATTGCAAATGAAATTTATTTCCTTAAAAAATGAATCAATAAAATAGAGATTGAGGTGAGGACCTGTGTGCAAATGGTTTACTTGGGAAGGGACCTCAGGCTTCAGGACTGAGGAGGCAGCAGAATGAGATTAGGAAGGAACAGAAGCCAATACAATTTACATTAGCAAGGTCAACATTGTGGACAGTGGGAACTTATTCTCCCAGGACAACCTGAGAAGCCCACAGAATGACCCGCAGAATTAACCACTGGAAAAAGGGAAGGCAGAAGCATTTGAACATCTGCCTTCACACTTCACCGTGGAAGGTTACCACGCAAAATGTTCACTCTTCTACACTTCTGAGCCTTGGACAAGTGTGCAGCAGAGTCAACTCCTGACCCAAGATGACACCCAGGAGAAGCCTGGGGACAGCAAGTGAGAAGTGAGAAGAGGCAGAAAGCAGATATTGAGTGAACCAAGTGAGTCATGGACTGCCACAAATAGTCTGCCTTAGCTGAGGGTGAAACCGAGGTGAGCCTAAGAGGATATATGTCAGCTCTGAGTGAACTTTCCAGGTCTTGCTCCCAGTTTACAAGACAGCATAGCAGGGCTTACAGATCTGAACCAGTTTATGGAAGGATGTGGATTTTTAGAACACAAATATTCAAGTCAGGGCACATAAAACGACAATCACTTAAATAAGATGACATGTTACTTAACATGTATTATGCTCATTGTCATTTGAAATGTAATGACATAATCCCTAAGTGCAGCTGGGTAAAATTTGAGAACAACAAACAAATTTGTGTCTTTTTCCTGTGGCCTGGTGTCAGTTTTGTGTGAGTCTTCATGCCTTTAGAATTTGGAATTTGTGATCCAGGAGTTCATGAAACCTAGGACCCACATATCTGTTCCCAACTGGCCTTGAAGCTATTGAAGAAAGAGGTTAGAGTTGGGTAGAGTTGTTTTGTGAACTCTGCCTGCGAGGTGCCCCTCTAGTCCATCTGACACTTAGCTGCTTTATTGTCCCTGGAACTGTGGGTGTACTACTTTGAACTTTAATGGAAAGCTTGTCTCCAAATAAGGAGTATCTGACTTAGATGTGTTTTTCCAATAAGCTAGGCCCCGGCTGCCTTTATGGTTTTAATCCTAGGAACTTTATCTCCCCACTCTACCCCAGACAACAAACATGACCTTGTTTCTAAGAGACATGGCTCTAGAGCTGGAGGGACTTGTGTAGTCATCTGCTAGATCCCCTCACTTCCTGCCTGTGACACAGTATGATCCTGATTTTTGGATGGGGCATCTTAATGCTGAAGGGAAAAATTATGTCACCCTAGGTGACCAAGAGAGTTAAGGTTACTTTCAGGAGCAGAACCCAAGTCTTTTTCCTTTCTGTGCTTCCAAATGTACTGGAATTGTGACATCTTTACATGAACATTAACAGTAAGCCCTGCAGATTTGGTTCAACAGTACAATAAATTTGTTTGCCTTAGACGTGTTTTTCCAATAAGCTGGAAGAATAATATCTGGTATGTATGGCTCAATACAGCGGGTCACATGTTTGTAAGAGGATCCAGCTAAGCTCACTAAGTACAGGGGAATCTTGACCTTAAGAGGTTGTCAAAAAGAAGAGGTCCCATGCCTTTAAATGCATGCTTGCAAGTTCTTGGGATTGGGGTTGGGGATAGAGTGATGGAGATTATGTCAATTCTTTTGGGCAGCTATAACAAAATACCTTAGACTAGATAATATATAAACAAGAGAAACTTATGGTTTATAGTACTGTGGGCTAGAAAATCCAAGATCAAACTATCAGCAGATTTTGTGTCCTGCAAGGGCCTTCTCCTCATAAATGGAGGTTTCTAGGTGTCCTCACATGATGGAAGCAAAAAATAGGATCCTTCAGGCCTCGCTTACAAGAGCACCAATCCCATTCATAAGGATGGCACCTTCATGATCTAATCACCTCCTAAAGCCCCCACCTCTTAATACCACCAAAATGGGGATTAGATTTTCATGTGAATTTTGGAGGGACACAAACATTTAGAGCATAGCAGAGACTAATTAATTCTGTGCCTCAGACCTACTAACCCTTTAAATAGTTGCTTTGCATATCATGTCAAGTCTGTCTGATCCATTCTTCCCAACTTCACCCCCACTATCACCCTGTTTCAGGTCCTCATGATCTCCCCTACACTACTTCGGCCTCCTGCTATCAGGTCCTCCCTCCTCACTCGATCCTGCACTCAGACGCCAGGTTATTCTTCCTTATGCTTGCCTCTGAATGGGCTACTCTTCTCCTCTGCAATTTCAAAATTTTTAGTGAGTCCTTATTACCTGCTAAATTCCCAATCCGAAATTCAAGAACCTCTGCAATCTGGTTCCAACCTTTCTTGCTAAAACCCTAACTCCTCCATCTTTTCAGAGTCTGGCTGGATGGGACTCCTCCCTCTGTCCCACTGCCCTCCTCGCCCTCCTGCAGCAGCTCTGAAGAACCCTGTGCATTTGCTATCTATCACACACACCATCCCTAACGCCAGTCGTGTTGAAGACTCACCTTCGATAAAAGCCCTGAGTGGACCTGGGTTATAGACATCTAGTTTCCTCTTAGGCCCAGATTCACTCCTGGAATATTTATTTATTTATATTATACTTTAAGTTCTGGGGTACATGTGCCCAACGTGCAGGTTTGTTACATATGTATACATGTGCCATGTTGGTGTGCTGCACCCATTAACTCGTCATTTACATTAGGTATATCTCCTAATGCTATCCCTCCCCTCTCCCCACTCCCCACAATAGGACCTGGTGTGTGATGTTCCCCTTCCTGTGTCCAAGTGATCTCATTGTTCAATTCCCACCTATGAGTGAGAACATGCGGTATTTGGTTTTCTGTTCTTGAGATAATTTGCTGAGAATGATGGTTTCCAGCTGCATCCATGTTCCTACAAAGGACATGAACTCATCCTTTTTTATGGCTGCATAGTATTCCATGGTGCATATGTGCCACATTTTCTTAATCCAGTCTGTCATTGATGGACATTTGGGTTGGTTCCAAGTCTTTGCTATTTTGAATAGTGCCACAATAAATAGTGCACACATACGTGTGCATGTGTCTTTATAGCAGCATGATTTATAATCCTTTAGGTATACACCCCGTAATGGGATTGCTGGGTCAAATGGTATTTCTAGTTTTGGATCCTTGAGGAATCGCCACACAGTCTTCCACAATGGTTGAACTAGTTTACAGTCCCACCAACAGTGTAAAAGTGTTCCTATTTCTCCACATCCTCTCCAGCAGCTGTTGTTTCCTGACTTTTTAATGATCGCCATTCTAACTGGTGTGAAATATTACTTGGTTTGAGAATTAATTAGATGGAGAAAACCCTGGGATTATGGAGAAAAGTTTAAAGATCTTTGCAAGAGATCAGGAGAGAAACTTTGTGCAAAGGTAGGTGTCGCAAAAAAAGGCAGTAGAGAGGCTAGTGAATAAAGGCTGCTGAAGTTAGGGACTAGAGTCAAAGAGTTGGAACATCCTGGCCTGGTCCCACCAAGTTCTCTGGGAACCTCGGTTGAGCTCAGCATGGCCAAAAGACATTCCTGAATAATGGCCCCTCCATGCCCAAACTGTCACCCATGATGCCCAAAACTCACTCCCAGCTAAATGTTATCCCAAGAAGAATAAGACTAAGTAGTTTTAAAGTACATATATTTTTCTTTCTGAAAATTTTTTTCCAAAATGCCATAGTTATGTACAGTAACATTAATTTCAACAACAGCAGTACAAAGCACACATTTGACTTAGAGGAGGACTGATTGCCAAAGAATACCAAAGTGTTTCACCCTGATGATCCATTGGAGGACCCCACAACGCTACAGACAGGTAGGAGGGAGAACAATGACATTTTGCCATGAACTTAATGAGCTCATAGGAAAACAAAAACAAAAACAAAAAACACATCACCAGGATTTTGTATTTTACATTCACTGGGATGTATGGCAGATAGCATTAAAACATCAATAACTTAAATATAATTAGATATTATTTAAGAAATATTATGCTTTAAATTATTTAAAAATAATCTCTTTGTGGATGTTATAATAAAATAATGTCACACTGCACCTGGGGAAGGTTGGGGGAAAATAAATAAGGTTTTCTTCAGGCTCTGACTCTCAGTCCAGGTATGAAGGCTCAAGGCTTCAGATTTTGAAACATTTGGTCCAGATGCTTCATGGAATCCCTGACCCATCTCTCCTTGGGGTCAGCACAGACCTCCTTGCCCCATTTGGTCTTGAAGCTGTGGGGGAGAGAGGGCACAATTAGATGGAACATTTTGAAGATCCTACCCAGGACCGTGGGCCATTGGTCCCTAGACCTGATCCGCCCTTGGTCCTTAGGTGAAGGACCCAGACCCGGGAGAGAAGGGAGGGAAAGAGTGGGAGGAAGAAGCTCCAGAAGGAAGCTCTGCTCTTGCTGTCCAGGTGAAACCCTCCAGGTTCCTGGCTAAAGGTATTGGGATAGTTTCACCAAGCCCCTAGAAGGGAATCCTAGAGCAGTTATGGACTCCTTCTCACGGGCTGAGCTTCTCTATGGGGTAGAGGGGTCCTTTGGATAGATGTTATATGCATCTGACTCATGTGGACATGAATCCTGACTTCTCTATGTTGTCCATCAGAACTTTTGAATGGGGGTGCCAGGCACTGTCCACTCACATCACAGCTTCCTTGGGACACTGGGTGTTGGTGATTCTTGTGTAGCTCTGCAGCCTCTGGATAGGAATTTTCCTATTGATCACATTAAAGCAGCAGGTGATTGGAATGGAAACTGAATCTGAAAGAAATTTTGCAAAGAATGAGACATTTAGGACCCACTGTAAGTGTGCATTTGTAAGGAAAAGAGGAGAAGACCAAGAAATCACCATCCTAAGTTCAATGTCTTAGTCCAGATCCCAGAGATAAAATGTTACCTGTGAGTCTGTTTCCTCTATTGAACTATGGGGCCCCTCATTGTTGACTGGGTATGGAAACATTCTGAGTAACAAGCTAGTCCTTGTCTACTAACCCAACCCAACATAAGTTCCAACACCTTGCTTCCCAGTCCTTCATCCTCATGGGCTTTAGAGCTAGCCTATGCCATACGTTGAGATTCCTCTGGGTCCTTATCCTCTTTACACAGCCACTGTTCTGGAATGTACACTGAACCATGACCAAAATTTGAAGCTTCAAGCAATAGTTTCTTCCTCTCAACTACTGCCTGAAATGTCCTTCACACCCACAGTGAGAAACAGTTCTTCCTCCTGCATCATTTCCCCAAACAATAGGAGGGTTGTTGCTGTAGCGACTCCACTCTCTGCTCCCAAAACTGGGGTCAGGAAAGATCAAGGGAACCAGCCTCAGTGACCTGAGCCTTTAGTTCTGGTTCTATTCCTAATGAGCTGTGACATAATGGCTCTTCTTAATTCCTCTTTTGGTCTCCCCTTAAGGAGGGAGAAGTCTTACCTGGCTGAGCAAGTCCCTGTGGGCTGAAAGTGGCTGCCATGAGCAGCAGGCACAGAAGTGCTGCAGAAACCTTCATGTTGGAGGGCAAGGGTGTGAGCTTCAGCATGAGAAGTGAAGGTTTCTGGGACGTTCTCAACCTCTCTGTTCCTCTGGTAGCTCTGCATGCCTTTTATAGGGAGCAGAGAGCCTGGGCAGGGTCACAATCAAGGAAGGATGAGGTAAGACCTTCCTTGAATATGCTGAGTAGGCACCAGACCCTGGGATAATTTCCAGATAACAAAAGAAGGAAGTTGTGAGTTTCTATCTTTTGCTTAGGCTCTGTGGAGCAGAGGCTGAAGGGTATGGGATTGTGCTCAGCAAAGGGACCTCATTGAACTATTAAGGGATCTGATTTCCTTGAAATGTAAAATCGTCTATAAGAAAGGAAGAACGGAAGCTGACGTCATAGTGGAAGAGAACCCAGGAGCCCAGGCATGGGCCCTAAGGCTTTGCTGGTGCTCTCCATGACACTTGAGTCACTTGCAGTTCTAAGCCAGGCAAGCTCCTTTAGAACCCAGCCACAGAACCTTGGCAGAATGACAGAATCCTGGAACAAAGTCTTAATGCCCTGAAATCTTACTGTTGTAGAGCATAAGAACTAGACAGCACATGCTGGTCTCATAGCGTGGTGGTTTCCAAACATTTTATTTATATGCTCAAGTTTCTTTCCAAATGAAATTATATGGAAAAGTCCAATATGTCATGGAGATTCAGGTGGAATGGGTCCATTTGCAGAAGGCCTTCCAACTCTCTTGGTTCACACACAGTGGGGCTGTGGGTGGGGCGTGGCAAGAAGGAACCAGGTTTGTAAACCACTGACCTTATGTACTCCCCCTGCAGGGCTGATCTATCCATATTACAATATCATATAGAAGTTTTCCTGCTCTAAGAATTCACTGTATTCTTCTACTCATCCTTTTTCCTCTACAAAAATCTCTGGCTACCACTGATCTTTTTACTATCTCTGTGAGCTTGTCTTTTCCCAAATGTCATATACGTAGTTGGAATCATATGGTAGGCAGCCTTTTCCAACTGGCTTCTTTCACCAAGCAATATGCATTTAAGGTTTCTCCGTGCCTTGCTGTGGTTTGATAGCTAATTTCTTCCTTTCTTCTTTATTCATTTATTATTTTTACTGTGGTAAAAATGCACATACCTTAAAATTTACCATCTTAACCATTTTTAAGTGCATAGTTTAGTGGCATTAAGAACATTCACACTGTTGTGCAACAGTCTCAATAACTCTTTTCATCTTGTAAACAGAAATGCTATATCTATTGATCTCCATTTTCCCCTCCCCCAAGCCCACCATTTCTACTTACTGTTTCTGATTTTGACTACTCTAACTACTTCATTTGAGTGAAATCATATAGTAGTTTTCTTTCGTGACTGGTTTATGTCATTTAGCATAATGATCTCAAGGTTCATCTATGTGGTAGCATATGATATGCTACATATCCTTAAGGGTGAGTAATATTCCCTTGTATGCATATAGTACATTTTATGTATCCATTCATCTGTTGAGAGTTCTCTATTCTGTTCCATTGACCCATTTGTCTATTCTTTCACCAATACCACACTGTCTTGATTAATGTTTCTTAATAGTATATCTTGAAGTCGAGTAATGTTAGTCCTCTGACTATTCTTTTTTGGTGCTCTGTTAGCTATTCTGGATCTTTAACCTTTCCATATAAACATTAAAATCTGTCTGTCAAATCCAAAAAATAACCTGCTGGGATTTGGACTGGGATTGTGTTGAAGGTACAGATCAAGTTGGGAAGAATTGACATTCTGACAACATTAACTCCACCTATCCATACACACGGAATGCTTCATTTACTTAGATCATCTTTAATCTTTCATCAGAAGTTTGTAGTTTCCCTCAAATATATTATACATCTTAGGCTAATTTCTAAATACTTCATTTTATTCGTGCTAGTGTAAATAGTATTGTGTATTAATTTCAAATTCTAGTTGTTCATTGCTGATATACAGGGAGTTATTGAATTTTATCTATTAACCTTGTATCCTGTAGTTAAATTGCTTAATAGTGGCATGACTTTTTGTTGCTGATTCTTTGTGATTTTCTACACAGATAATCCTGTCTTCTGCAAATAAAGACAGTTTTATTTATTTATTTCTAATCTGTATGTATTTTTATTTTCTCATCTTGTGCTATTGTGTTGGCTAGGCCTTCTAGTATTATGTTGAACTGGAGTGGTGAAAAGAAACATCCTTGCCTTATACTCAATCTTGGGAGAAAACATTTCTAGTTTCTCACCATTAAGTATGAAATTAGCTCTGGGTCTTTTTTGGTACACTCTATAAAGTTGAGGAAGAACCCCTCTATTTCTCGTTTGCTGAGAGTTTTTTTTTTTAAATCATGAATGGCTGTTGAATTGTGTCAAAAATTTTTTTTCCACCTATTGATATTATGATAAGATTTTTCTTCCTTAGAAAGTTGATCTGATGGGTTATATCAACCAGTTTTTGAATGCTGGATCAGCCTTGCATACCTGGAATAAATTCCACTTGGTTGTAGCTTATAATTCTTTTTTACATTGTTGTATTTTATTTGCTGATATTTTGTTGAGAATTTTGTTCATGAGTTTGGTTTATAGATTTCTGTTGGTTTGTAGTTTGCTTTCGTTCTAATGTCTTTAGATAATGTCTTTAGATGATGTTAGGGTAATTCTGGACTCATAGAATGAATTAGCAAGGGAGGAGAGGGGACAATTATAAAATTTGTTCCTCAGGAATTCTCATTGGTTTATAGAAATAACATGGGTTAGTAATTGGCAATGTATTGTTGAACTATAGGGTGTATATCTAAAATTTCACCACCAAATCCAAGATCGAATACTGTCTTTTCAATTAATGTGTTTATATTTCTCACAAGACAGTAATTATTCCCCAATAATCTTGAGCTTTAAAAGCTCTATAGGAGTTCACATATATCACTGCACCATAATTAACTTAAGAATTTATTTCTCTATAGTTGGGAATCATACCATTTCCATTTTTATGATTTTAAACAATACTTGTGGAAAAGCTGATATACCATAACATTATTATTAATGTCTTCATTTAATTTTATAGCCAAAGAATTAATAAATCAAAATATGTGGATGTTGTTAAGGCTTTTAATCAAATGAACACATTGCTGGAAAATTTGCACCTTCACTTAAATATGAGTCTATTATTCTTAAAAACATTTTATAATTGCTAAGAAGAAGACATTTGTCTTGTTAAAAGATGAAAGAAACCTATAGTGATAGAACAGTGGTTCCTTTGCTGGTATGGGCATCATGAGGGAGCCTTTTGGAAACCAGGAATGTTCTACATTTTGATCAGAGCGGTAGTTAAATGGTTAACTACACATGTAAAATTCATAAAACTCTACATTAAAATATCTGTACTTTACTGCACAGTATGTTGAATTATACTTCAATATAAAGTAAATCCAAGAAAAAAGCTCACCGTTATTTTGCTTACATTTTACTTTATTTGCTTTTTAATGTGTAGGTTAGTTGCTTTATTTTTCCTTGTGATTAATATACTCTTGTTCTTAAATCAGGTGACTTTTTACTGTTTTGATTCAGAAGAGATTTTTAAACATTTACCTCATGCATTTTTCATTTATTACAATTACTATGTGAACTTTTAACAGTAAAGAATTTACAGAATATGGAACATGTGTGTCATTAGGATTTCCTTTAATCAGAAAGGAAATTGAGTTTCTCCAGGATGGCAACTTTTTAATCATTTTAGGGGATGGTTCTCTGCCAGGTGTACTGTGTGGCACTGATATGAGTGTGTGCATGGGGTGGGAGTATCGGTTTGGGGGTGGAGTTTGTGTACATTTTTCAAGCAACAATAGAGCCATTATCTTATGTAATACCCTGAGGACTTTGTTAATTTCTCCTCTGAGCTGACTTCATATGAAAAGTGCATCCACGCACAAACAACAGAAATAGTCGTGAAAATTGTAATTATTGAGAATCAAAAAAAGGCTAGTAAAAATAAAGGGAATTAAGTGTCAAGGAACTTGGGTCTAGTCTTGATTTGAACAAAAACCTGTCCAAAGTGGCCTTGGGCAAGTCTTATTGACTTGGAGATTCACTATCCTCATCTGTGAAGTATGGGGTTTTGACAAGTTTTGTGATGACAAGTAGTTTTGGATTATGTGCCAAATTTATGAATTGGTGATAGATGACTAGAAAGTTTTGTTGTGAAAATAAAACAATGCGGCATTACCTTGGGTTTTTGAATATAATGCTGTGATTGATTAGTGATGTCTGCTATTAGTACAGTAATAAGAAGTGGTACTATCTACGTAACCTATTCCAGAATTAAATAGGACTTAAGCTCTTCTCTAACTTGATTTATTTGTGATTGTCTGCAAAGAATCAAATCAGAAAGCAGAGAGGCTCGGATGCCAGGAAATGTCAGAGAAGCATTCTTGGCTGTCAGTCTAAGACAGGCAGAATAGCATGATGGTTAAAAGTCTTCATTTGGATACTGGGAAGACTGGTTAATATCTTTGTCAGAGAGGGCTCAGATTATTTAACTTCTTTATATTCCAATTTCCTACCTATTCTTTAATTTTCTTGTGTGGAAATGGATATTTATTTTTAGGTATTTTATGAATATTATCTGATGCCCAAAACTTGCTTTGAAGAGTAAGTAGCATATGGTAAGTGATCAATAAACTAACTGTAATCAATAGTTAAGTAAGGTGGGTGTAGTGTCCAGAAGATAAGTGGATATAGATGTGTTATAGGGATGGGCCTTGGGGAATATTTGTGCTGTGGATGAAGAAAAAAAAATGTGTCTCCCAGGAACAGGAGCAAAGTGAGATCCTGGGATCCTGCCATGAACCAAAATACTGGACGGGCTCTGGGAACTCAGAGGGAATGAAAGTCAGATCAATGCTAACAGATGCCAAGGGGCATCAGAATTCTAATTCTGCAGGGAGTTTAGGAATCTCAGTTAGCAAGCCACTTTGATTATGCAATTTCCCTATCTTGTTTTATT